CCATCCCTGCTGCCCCACAGCTTAGCCGAAATTCTGCCAGGAAAGATTGGTTCCTCTGGATTATAAAGACTTTTAAAAACCACGTTTCTCTTGTCAAAATAATAGCACTCATCACTAGAAATCAACTTAGGTGAGCATGGACTCAGGGGGGTAGAAAATGAGGCTATGACCTGGCAGAAATAGGGCAATAAGGAGAGTCACTTAACAGTAAGGGCTTCTGTTAGGTTTAAAGACAGTGGATGGGTTGGGTACTCCAGATTCCTCTTCTTCTTTCTGCTTGTTTTTACCTACAGACACTAGGAACCTGGTTGGAACATCTATTTTACTTCTTGGGACCAGCAGTTAGCGTAATGGCTATGTCACTGGACTCCCATGTAGTCCACCGTGGTTCGAGTCCTGGACCCAGTGGCTTAAACTCACACGGGGTGCGTGTGCATGCGTGCCCAAGATCCTGAGAGAAGAATGGAGGAGAAGGGATTGCAGCATGGCCATTCCCCCTGAGGGGTGATTTCTCACTTTCTCTCTCTCTCTCTCTCTCTCTCTCTCTCTCTCTCTCTCGGTCTGGCGAGCGCACACGCCCTATAGCAAAAACCTCTTTAAAAAATCATAAAAAAAAATTTTTTTTAAATCTATTTTACTTCTTAATGTCTCAATTAAAAGGATGATGATAGAGTCTGTCTTAGAAGAAAAAAGTCAAACCCTGAGAAACTTTTTGGGAATTGCTAATCCATCAATGGAGGGTCCCTGAAAAGGACAGTTTAATATAATAGTGAAGAAATTAATATCTCAGCCCAGCCATGGTATCACAGTAGTGGCATAACACTCTACAAGGCTGGAAGCCACGTGAAAGATCAGTTGAACAGTATACACCAGGCCTGTGTGCATGTGCTCACGGTCCTGGCTTGCTGCAAAGACTGGAGGGGCTCACAGCACGAGATCCCATTGAGAGTGCATCTCTCTCTCTTTCTCTTTATATCTCTTATGAAAGAAAAAAAAATTTTAAAGAATGTCTCTAGGTTTGAACTTTGACTCAGTCATAATTCCCATGCCTTGCGAAAATCATCAGTAAGTCTCTGAAACATACTTTGTGTGCAAAAGGGGTATGTATCAGTTAGCTATTGTGATACGTAACAGACTTCTCCATAACTTAGGAGCTTAATACAATAGTTATTTATTCTCATAACTTGAGAATTGGTTGTGATGGCTTTGCTTGTTACGGTAGTCTATGGGTTAGCAGGAGTGACTGTTCTACTGTACGTGTAACTCATCTTCTGGGACCAGATAAGCTGGTTCTTCCCAAGATAAAGACAGAGATGTAAGAGGGCAGGAGGAAACACATTTGACTTTTTAAGGCCTGGACTCAGAACTTATATTGTTTACTTAGGACTATCTATCTCTGGCCAAATCAAGGGCTTGGCCAAACCCAAAGTTAAGGTGATAAGAGAGAGAATCTGCCCAAATGGGATTACAGCGAGAGTGCAGATGAAGCAAAGAATAAATCCTTGGGCTCTAAAATGTAATATACCCTAAGGTATTATAAAAGTACATTCTTAAAATATTGTTTTAACAGTTAGTTATATAAAGTAGACTCACTGTGCCCTCTCAGAGAATGGCAGGGTGCCTCTAGGTGCGTGTGCTTTGGTTCTTGACTGAGTAAAGTTGCACCAGTGGATTTGGAGCTAAGGATTTCCCTCTTTGATTTGGGGAACTGTTAAAGAGAGTGTCTCCTGGAGGTGAGGAAATGTGTGGTCTTCCAGAATCCATCAATTTCCTGTTTCCAAGTACAGTATTGACCCTCATCTCACACACCAAAAGAAACAAATGGATTTGATTAGCAAATACTTTCATCTACATCCTAATTGAAGTCTCTGGGACTTCCTTGTTTTGGAAAATCCCATTTTAATGCACAACACATCAGGTAGCCAAAAGAATTTCCTCTCCCATCTGCTGCCCTGCCCCTTCCAAACCAGGGAGTTTTTCCACCATATTCTCACCAGTCCCATCAGTCTGAGACTAGACCAATGGATGCGTCCAGGATTTGGGCTGAAAGGTTCTCCTGCTGTTTTTGATTCATACCATGAATCACTCAATCCTAAAGCGCTTAAAAATGGAGGCGAAGGAGAGCCCACAGTGATGCCAGAGTCCAGATGCCCTTACACTGTGGAGCTGTCTACCTTTTGCCAGGACCCCTGAGATGCAAGGCTCACGCTCCCTGGTAGCAGCTGTTGCAGCTGAAATAAATTGCAGCTGAGGAGGCGACTATTTGGCCATCTGAAAGTCTGACCAGTTGGCATGTTGTTGTCTCCAAATGAGCCGGCAGGAAACGGGGTTTCCTAAAACTTGGTTTTAAAGCACTTAGAACAGGAAACCATTTCCCATGCATGTTAGATCTCTCTAATGACTGACTAACTAGAAACAGGCTATCTTAATACTCTGCCCCGAGCCATTACAAATGGCTTTCTTTCCAGACTTCATTAGAATATTTACAGCGATTTGGATAGAAGACTTTTGACACTGCAGTCATAAAATTTACAGGGGATTTTTTTTTTTTTTCAGTCTGAGAAGAGACATGGAAGAAGCAAGGAAAGCCCTTGACTCCTGCACTAGCAATCTCATTCATTAGTGGTCTTCATGTCTTGTGACCTCTACTTAGGAAAATAAACATCCCTGTGGTAGTCCAGTAAATTGCCTTCAGAAAGAAACAGCTAGGTCTCCCTTTTGTCAACTCCTGCGTCTTTCAGGTACGTGGCAAGAAAAGGAACATTCACAATGTGTGCACGTTCTACGAGTTGCACTATGGAATCTTCACAACGGTCTTGTGAATGAGCTCAGTCTTTATCCCCATTTTGCTCTTGAGAAAACTGAGGCCTGAAGTTACCAAAAGTCAAGCACCTAACGAGCAGAAGAACCTGGACTAGAATTCATGTCTTCTTTTTTTTTTTTTTTAAGAATTATTTATTTAATTTTATATATTCATTCTTTTTTTTTTTTTAATTTGACCAGAAAGACACAGAGAGAGAGAGAGTGAGAGAGAGAGGGAAAGTGAGAAAGCAAGCCACCAGGTCCGAGACTCGAACTGTGGTTGGCCATGTGGGAGTCCAGCACCCTTATCCACCATGCCACCTGCTGGCCCCTAGAATTCATGTCTTCTTGAAACATAGCTCCTCTCTCACCTGCTTCACTACCTGTACATATGCTCAAAGCAAATCCAGTCTACAAAGACAGTAGCTATTCTACAGAAAAGAAATTCAGACTCACTTTTACCTTGCTTTGTTTATTTATTTTACCAAGAGTGGATGCATACATTCACCAGAGAAAGGGAGGGAGAGGGAAAAAGTACCTCCCAATAGAGCATGGTCATTCCATGATCTCTTCCCCCCACCCCCAATTTCTTCATTTCATCAGGATTTGGAACATGCACACATATGTGCCTGACATGTTTTTCAAGCTACTGGGGTGGGATTTGAACCAGGGTTGGCTATGTGAGACCTGGCTTTCTATACACAGCACTTAGCCACTATGCTCCAGGGCTGATTCCATTTATTTATTTACTTAAGTTTCTTCCTTCTTTTTTTTCTTTCTTTCCTTCCTTTTTTCTTCTTCCTTCTTTCTTTTCTTTTGAGACAAAGAGAGAAGAGCACCCACAACAGAGTCTCATGTCCCCATAGCTTTTCCCAGTCAGTTGGAATCACAGGCATGCAGACCAAGTGCGGTACAGGTCAGCCTGTGAAACAAATACCAACCATCCACAAGGCTTTCAGCATTGTAGAGTGTTGCACTAGCCATGCTCCACTTTCATCTTGTCCTAAATCTAATGCCTTCATAAAAGTCATCAACCGAAGCCTCAACTCAATTAAGTCTCCAACCAGAACAAAGTCACCATGGGACAATGAGGCTGCCCTATTTGCAATAGTATGATATTCAGTTGCACTTTTTGTTGTTGCATGGTGACAACAGCCATGAGGTAAATAAAGTAGGATGAATGAATGTACAGTAGCATTGACAGGGGGTTATGAGGAGAAACACTAATTTTGATCAAGTGGTCACAGAAGGATTCTTGTAGGGGGCATTTGAGTAGAAACATGAAGAAAGTGAGAGAGGGGAACCCACACAAATACATGTGGGAACATTCTGGAGTGAGGGGACAGTTGAGACCAGAGTTGAAGAACAAGTGGCCCCAAGTATCTCTGATGGTGTCCTTTGGGTCTAAGGCTGCATTGATAACTTTGGGTGTGCAAAGTTCTCTATGTGAACTTTGTTGGGCCACAAGAAATCTGTGTTTCTCCATCATATAGTTTATCCCATGTCAGAAACATTTCCACTGAACTTTATTTTAATGCCGTGCATTTGGATCGTATCATAAGATGTATGAAAAATGCTCCTCCTCTCTTAGACTTTGTGGAACCCCTACTATCCTATCATTCTCTGTAGATTTAGAGCCAAGAGAAAGATGATCACTCCCCCAAATAGTGTGCTTTCTCTTAGCAAGTAATAAAGGGCACGTGACCTATCATGTTTCCCCCTTTTGGCCTTGATACCTAGGAAGCTCAAGGTTAAAGTTAATATTCAATTAAAACAACAAAGTTAGCCTTCAAGGCTTTGGAGTATTGCTAATGCTTAATTGTATATCTGCTTTTCATTGAAGGCAGCCTCTGGTAGACTTTTGGGCTGGTGTATAAATAACACATGTACATAAAATTATGTATGCCAAGAATATAAGAAGTGTTACTCTACTTAAATAACATTTATAATCAGCTCATTGGATACTCTAGATAAGCCATTGTTTACTAGTCTGTTTCAATGGAGACTAAGTATGTGACCAGATTGGGTCAGAAGAAGAGAAAGAAATATCACTGTAGAGTGCTATGCCAATCTCTCCCTCTTCCCAGGAATCCCATCTCCCAGTAGCCACATGTGTCATCTCTCAGATGAGCACTGGGATTGATCGTGTGACTTGCCTTAGCCAATGGATATCAACAATGTGTTGCAAGCAGAAGTTATTATGCTTATTATCGCTCTCTTGAAATGTTGAAGTCTCCATGTGAGACAACCAGGTCTAGCCTCATTAAAGATAAAAGACTACATGGAGGAAAAGACCCAACAATTATGGCTGATTCTCCAGCTTAATGCAGTGGCAGGAGTAAGCCCAGGTAGAAACAAGCAGAGAAGTCATCCAGGCACTCACTGAATCATGGGATTAAGTGATTCTTGTTATTTCCAGTTTCTAAGTTTTAGGGGAACTCATTATACCTCAATAGGTCAACATTATACCTCAAGGCCAACACTCTAGGGAATTGTTATTAAGTATCTGGGTCCAATAAGCACTTGGACCCAGATACTCCTGGTACTCTTAGACTGTCAGATACTCCTGAAGGATGTCTCTTGCCAGGAAATAAAACATACCAACAAGAACACATAATTTTTCAGAACCTACCACATATAAGGTACCTCTTTTGGCCCAGGGAATACATTGACCAGAACACAAAATTATTCTCAAATAGCTTATAAGATTGTCAGGTCAAAATAATTTAGAAAGTCTGACATTGGTAGAACAGATAGAGATATGAAAAAATATTTAATAGCCTAGAAAAAAAATGTAATAAATACTAGCACGAAAATATATATCAGTAAAAGCAGCAACCCCTATCAAAAGCATACAAAGTTTTTTCTTCCATGCATGACATTAGAATAATAAGTTATTAATAGTTACTAGGAAAAAAACTCATAATAAGACCTCACCTCATACTGAGTATATAGAGTATTCACAATGATTGGTATACCTAGTATGATTTTTCCTAAATATTCAGAAGTTTTATTTCTGTTTTTGTTTTTTGTTTTGGAGACATTTTCGCTATAGGGTGCATGCACTTGCCAGAAAGAGAGAGAGACAGAAAGTAAGAAATCACCCCCCCAGGAGGATGGACACACCGCAATCCCTTCTCCTCCATTCTCCTCTCAGGGTCTTGGGCACACATACACACGTGCCCGGTGTGAGTTTAAGCCACCACGTTCAGGAACCACAGTCGACTACATGGGAGTCCAGCGACATAGCCATTACTCCAACTGCTCGTCTCACTATTCAGAAGTTTTAACAGTTAGCTATTTACCTATTAGTAGTTTGATATAAGCCATAACAGGAATATTTATGCAACATTAATTTGCAAATGCTAGAAATCAGAGATTTCCTTTTTCTGAGAGCATTTACCAGGACACTGTTGAAAATGAGAAAGATTTTTTTATATATATTTTATCACATTTACATTTAAATTTTATTTATAAAAAAATCTAGAAAACAAAGTTACTAGATAGGATAGTTTATTTACATGAAGAAAATATAAGTGTACATAGAAAAGTGTCAAGGGAAATTTTCCACCTTATTTTTTTTTCACTCTGGATCTCAAATTTTCTACAACGAGCCCTGTCTTGCTTGTGTTATCAGTCAAAAAATAAAAATAGGAGAAAAAAAGTTGTTTTAATCTTATTTTACAAAAAGGAGACAGAAGGTCCTTTTCTTTCTAAAATAGTGGAAACTGTTAATAGTGCTATACCAGGTACTGAGTTAGGGAATTGATGTGTTTTATCATTGAGTCTTCTCTTCATTCCCAGTTTGCAGGTGGTAATATCAAGGCTTGAAAAAGTGAAGTGGCTTGGCTCTGGTTAAACAGCTGGTAAATGGCAGAGTAAATGTCTGCATTCTTTTCACCACATGGCACTGGTTCCAGTATTAAATTGTGACAGATGCTAAAAATCATTTTAAATCACTGATTCTCATAAAATCCCCCTAGGTCTTTCCAGCTTTCACATAGAGGCTATTTATTCTCATTTTAGTTGGAAGTATACAGAGCATGGTTAAAACAGTAAATCAGAACACGAAGGTGCTAACTCTAGAGACGCAAGGGGAACGAAAACAAGGGACAACAGAAAGCTACTCAAGCACAAGGACTGGCATGTTGTTCACTGTCACATCCCCCTGCTTAGCTCCTTGCAGGCCCATGGTCGGCTATCAATTTAGGGTTTTGAATCAATGAAAAATAAGAAAGAAGAAGAAAGAAAGGGAAGTAGAAAGAGCAGGAGCAGAGTAGGGAGGTGAAATATGAGGGAAGGTAGAGCTAGCTAGGATGGTACAAGCGGTGAGACACTGCTCCACAGGCTGGGCCCACATCGGAGCCCCAGGTTCAAGTCCTAGTCTGACCTAAAGGTCGGATATGGTGATGTACACCTATACTCACAGTGACTCGGGAGGTGCTGAGGAAGGAGGATCCTGAGCTCAATGCTGGCCTGGGCAACTAATGAAAATTTGTCTAAAAAAGAGCTAGGTGAGGCTAAGGCAAGGAGATGGTGATACAGCAAGCATTGGGAAAATACAAACTTTTCTTGACAGTTTTCATTTTGGTTTTTGTTTATTTGTTGGTGTTGGGTCTGTTTTATTTTGTTTTGTTTTACTGCACACTATCTTATCTCTCTACATGTCCTCTGGAATTTTAATCAATATTCCTGGCTGCTTGACGTGAGAATGACTTTCTTTGATCTTGAACTGAAATCAAGAAGTTGGACAGGATATTGCAGTGGTCAACAAATCAAAAGTTAAGTCAGGTGTTTAGCGGATCTGGATTGTCCTTCTTCTCTGAGGTCACTTGCCAAGACCTGACCATCTCACCT